ACATGGTCACCGGGGTACAGTTGAGACACACTGTCTGAACTGTACCTGACATTGATTTGCATGGTCTTTAGCAGCAATAGTTTAAGTATATTCATTCATTCATTTGAATTTAATAGATCTGTAATAAGCTATCATTTGAATGCAAACCATTCTTGTGAACTGCAGAAAATTTAGTTATACCAATATACTGCAAAAATATATTAACAATCAACAAATTATTATGTATCTGTTAAATATTAAATTTGTTTTGCTGTTTTTAACTTTTAACCTGTGCTAGAGTCAATGTAAATGAAATAAATGCATTATTGAAGTGTATAATACTGATCATTATTTTTTATATACAGTTTATTTTATTGGCAATGATTGACTTGTTAGTTTTCCAGCATTTTGAATGGTGTCTCGACCTTAAGTTTTTTTATGAGTACAGTTGAGACAAAAAATAACTTTTTGTTTTTGATTAATAGTGAAAAATATAAACAATTATGGCTATTATTTCTTGGTTATATTTTAGTTAACATGTAAAATATGTTATGTAAAAATACAGTATATATTCTTTTCATTGTGTTTTTAGTGTCTAACTTTTGTGTGGAAATGGGAAAAGCAAAAACGGTCTCAAGTGTACTCAGTCTGCCCTAGCAGATGCAATATTACTGATTTATAAAATCAATCAAACGTGGACCAAACGCTTTTGTCCTAAAGGGCTGCCGTACAGTCTGACGTTACGTCACATTCAGGCGACAAGCAACAATGGTAAGTGAGCAAGCAGTTTTTTCTTTCGCTTATAAATGTATATATACCAGAGTAAACCTTAATATTTCTAAATATTACTTTGTACATGGTAATGTAAAAGTTACGAGTCTCTCGACTAAGCAGTTTTAAGCGTGGTTATGTTTTAATTGTGATGTAACATAACYAAACGCAGGTTACAGAGTTTTAGCCTAACTAGCTATGTTAGCTTGGTTAGCCGGMATAAATCATTTGGTGTTCTTCCTTATTTACTGTGGCAGTAATTTTGAGGGTACAACCTTTTATCCTTTCACTTATTCACATTTTGTGAGGTGTTTCTTATTTGAAAGTAATTACTCATCTTAGAGTTTGTTTAATGCGAAATTAGCTCACTAACTAGCTGCAAGCTAACTCCAGCTCGACCAGGACAGCGTTTTTGWGTTGAAAAACCCATCACGGTTTATGACGGAAATAGTTCACTTGTTATATTTAATTTAATTTAAGTTGTATTTAAACAAATGTTGTGTTGTTCTAGGGTCAAAGTCAGAGTGGAGGCCATGGACCGGGAGGAGGCAAGAAAGATGACAAGGTGAAGCTGCTCTGCGTGTTGTTATTTTGTTTTGTTTATTTTTAAGAGATAAAACAATATAATTTTACTTAACTTTGAATTAAACACTTTTGTTTATAATTGTCATTAGGATAAAAGTGGATCTTAGAATATTTCTTATGTTTTTATAAATATTGAATGGCCTTTTTTTGCCACTTCAGTWGAAATCAGAACTGAATATCTGAATATTAGTATCTTAGCTTCTTCATCATCAGCGGCTTTTTTTAATTGGAGAAAAAGAAAGAAAAAAGTGAAATGTAATGAGAGAGTGAAAGAGATTAGAAGATATGTAAAATATATGTTGAGAAAACACAAGACAGCACACCC